CTCAGTTGCTAGAATTGAGAGTATGATATTTGAATTGATATATTTTTTTGTAGTGCATTACTATAGCCATGCAGTTATATTCTGTTCATATATTTTAGTGATGAAGATTCTATTGCGTACATGATTGAGATTATACAAATTATACACAGACAAAAGAGAAACAACTTAATTTATTAAAGTATGACAATTAGTAATTTGTAATGTTTGGACGTCTTGTTTTTATTTATGTAAGGGCCTCATTTAGGACAAGTCCAGATATCTTGAGTTTCATTGTGGGTTTGCTCTATCATAGGGGAGCAATTGAGTTTTGTACAAAATTATTTCATCCCTGTAATTTCAAATATTTTGTAATAACTTGCATGTGACATTTTTCCTAGCAATTATAAGGTTACCCAAAATATGAATTACATTAATATATGAATATGGGTATGATAAGGCAAATCAAAAGTTAATTGGAAGTGAAGCTTTAAGAATCACTGAAAGGTCACTTAAAGATGAATGTTAACAAAACTTGAGATGCAAGAAAACCTGAAAGCACAACTGAAGTTGAACAAAACCTGAAACTTTAAGTAGTACCTAAAGGGATACAAAAGATTAAAGAAACCTTTAAGATGCCTTTACAAGTGAAGTTTTGGTCTACTAACGACGAGTTTACGAGATTTAGGAGAATTCTACTCTTAGAGTCCATTAAATGGTTATTTGGGTTTGCTTTCATGTGAGCTTAAAGTGTTCATGAAATGGTTCATAAGGGGACTTTAATTGACTTCTGAAAGCTTAATGAAAGGTTCATTTAAAAAAATTTGTACATCACATAAAGATGTCTTAAACGTTTTCAATGTTAGCCTTTAAGTTACCTTTAAGGCAACTTAATTGAGCTATTTCGTTCTCAGCCGCGAGAATGCCATTACCAAAGCCACGGAATACGTAACTTTCGGTTTTTTCGTTCCATATTTTGCATTGGTTTTCTTCCGTTTCTAGGAAAGTTCTAATGTCACTGCCTGTGAGCGATACAGATTTTTCAGTGTTTTGGCAGCCATTATCCGAAAAAATTTTGACAAACGACCTTGTATTGAGAATCGTGAAGGCTTTACCGTTCATTCATCAACCTGACCGAGTGGCGCGAAAGGTGAAGACGTGTCAGCAGCTGATTGGCGATATCAAACACGTGAAAAAAATACGATATTTTTTCACGTGTGTTGTTACGGCTTTTCACAGGGCTAGAAATCCTTTTATAACACCGTAGTTTATATGATAATCTCTTTTCATGCCGCCATGAATCCATTATCATTAAGAACAGATAACAAATATTACGATTCATCAAATATATTTGCTCGCGCACAATTGGTCTCAACGCATCACGAAACTGAATACCCCCAGTCAAATTGGGTGATATCCGAAAATATAAGATACGATAAGATAGGACAGAAGGGATGGATCATGAGGAATAAAGAATAAACAGGGATTTTCGATTAAATGATAAGCATCTTCAAGCATTTCACGCGACTCTCTTTTAGATTTTGTAAAATGATCTTCGACTATGTCTTGGGTGAAAAGTTTGAAGAGAGTCACATTTAATCCTCTGGGATTCAGCTTGTAAGAATCCTCAAACTGAGATAATGAAAGCAATACTTTCACCTCTCTCCATTCTCCCTTCTCCTCCACTTTTGTCTCACGGCGTCACGTCAGTTGTGTATGCTCTATTATGAATGGTATATATTTTATCTCTGGCTTAGTGTGTAACTAGATGCTTGAGCTGGAAGAGCATATAATTTCATTCTCCATATGATAAAATGCATAAACCTGGTTTTATTTTTTAAACCGGGTTTCTTGACTTTCCTAAGTCACATTTACATAATCAATTTCATAATCAAGAGTCAGTGGTAGAATTACATAATCACGCTTGTACCGATATATATGATATACCAACTTAAGTCCATCAGTTCTGAAGCGCAGCTTCATCTGTTTGATGGATAAATGGTGATCATTTTTATTCTTCCAAGAACAGATGGGATACTCAAATTACATTTCGGCAGATAAATGTTATTTACTTGAAGACAACCGTAGTTAAACGAGTATTAATCTAAAAGATCCTATATTATGTAAAATATAACCAAAACGTTAACTAAATACAGCTATTTTTATGCGTGCGTTTCTTTTGTTTTACCAGCTCTCCACACCTTGCGCAAATTGTCTTTAGCCTTATTGGTCCGTTTTAAGATGGAAAAACAGATAGTGAGAATCAATTGTGCATTTTGATGTCCATTATAGTCTACCTCCAGCAAAAGGATTTGAAAGATGTTAAAGAATCCGCCATGATGCTACCATGTAAAAAACCAGTATAAGCGTACTGACAACTACCAACGAAAACTTATGATGTATGGTGCGATGAAAGGGATTCATTCCAGTAAAAAACATAAAACGTTCACAGTCCAGTCCATACGTTCTACGCTGAGTAAGTACATGCAAGCTATATTAAACTCATGGTTGTGCTGTTGAAATTTAAAGTTAGAAGTATATGTTGAGATATAGATATATACAGATAACTCGGTATTAGGATATCCTACAGCCCTCTTCCGAGTCAAACCATAAATAAATAAAATGTAAAAATTGAGGGGATGTACCTGACGCTGTTTTACAGAGGTATTTGAGTTTTTAAAGGAAAAAAATTTAAAATAAAACAATCATGTTGTACTTAACATTAAGTGGTGCTTGTAGTTCATGATTATTATGGATATCAAGGATCGCAAGAAGACAACTGCTTAATTACCAACCTTCTGAAGATGCCACTTGGTTAAAATACACACTTCTGTGCAAAACGAAGTTCGAAATTTTCTCAGGCATCTCAGGCGACGAGTCATTGCAATTTCAGATGAAGAACAATTATAGAAATAATTTCCACATCGCGTTTGAACGTCGAAGTATATTATACTTTAAAGAGAGTTATAAATAGCATATTCCCGCACCAGATGGAGGCCATTAGGCTTAAAACTCATGAAATGATCAGCGTGCAACCGTGTTACCAACACCTTACCGTCGAAAAAGTTGTCAGTTTACGGCATTTCTTTGTTCAATGGCAGTGCTTGACTATACGAACGAAGTTTGTCTCTTTTTCTGTAAGCGCGGCAAACCCCATAAAACGTCTTGCATAAGAGTTTAAAGGAGGATTGTAATTGCTTTCGACGAAGAGTTTCAAAATGTTAAAATAACAATGGGATTACTTTTCATTCTTAGCCAGCGCTTGTTCCGTCACGTTGCACGGTTAGAACAATAGCGCGTGAAAAGAAGAGAGTTGAGTCGCCACTTTACGTGTTTGCTATGTCTTCGAAGGAGCGATATAATACTAGGTTAGATATTTCTAAGGGTAAAATTTCACTGACACGTATCGTTTTAGACTCGTTAAAGACTTGTTCAAACTGATAAGAAGCTGAGCTGCAAAGCGTTTTAAATTTTGACGGCTCCCCGAAGAAGTTAGAAAAAAGTTGTGGCCAGAAGTTTAAGAGGCGATCTCTGTAAGAGCGGTCCAGGGCATTTCGCATCGGAAAAAATTTTTCCCTCAAACTTTTCCCAATAAACTATCTTTGGTTACAAGTAAATAAAACCACATTAGTTTCTGGAAATACGTTAACATAAAATTTTTAGAGCTGTCAAAAGTCAAAGCTGCAGAAGGCCCTTTTTTGACCTTTTGCGACATCGAAAATTTCAAAAGTTGAATAGCTCGGTCCTCGTATCACACCGCATGCAGCAAAAAATATTTTTATTCTTAAAGTGTGTGATATATAAGGTGTATAAAATGCATTTCAATTTTGATATTCGTTTATTCAGAGGCTCGTCAAAATTTATTTAAAAACACTCGTTGGAAAGCTTTCTGAAATTGGTTAAAAGTACTCTTTCTTTCTTGGTTGATATTGCTCAAGTCCAGACCAGACCATTAAAAACGCCGCTTGATTTCTGCTGATAAGATGTTTGGCTGCAGAAAAATATAAAAACATCTTGCACTTATTGATTTTCTTCGCTGAGGTGACTTCGAACTTTTAGCGATATTGCTAGCGTGACAGCCGATTATGCAAATTAGTTCATTGAGCAAACTCCGACCGTTTTATGTGAGTAGCTTAATAAATCTTAGCTTTTGACCATTATAAGTAGAAAATAAAGTAGAAAATATAGTGGAAAAGCTTTAAGACCACACCGATTAATACCTTAAACATTTTAAAAGGCCAAAATTTTGACAAATTTTATTATCTCGTGACGAAGGACGTCAACAACAACGTATCGAATATCATAATTTGATTGGCGCTCGCAAACCCCTTTTAAATAATTTGGCTTCTGTTATTTCATATTCGAGTTCTGACAGCTTACGCTATTAAAACCTGTATGAACATTTCAAAACCAAACTACAGGATTCTATTTGGTGTAACCGGCGATAACAGCACACACTGAAATACACCGTGACCAATGTCACATAATTCAATTGTGTAATTATCCTGAATTGCTTCTCCCTTCGTAATAAAGCAGCGATAACATCGCCTTTTGGATCAGAATTCTGGTCGGCAGAAATAAGAGAAATTTTGCCTGCACACCGGTCTTTATGAAAGTTTCTATTCAGAACTCTAGAGAGTTCTTGTGGAAAAGGACCCCGCGATTTTTGAGGAAATAAATTATTACGTTACGTGTCACCTCATTTTTCCAACAATTAGCTATATCTATATCGTAAAGCGTGTAATTTTATTAGCTGTCATTCATATGTCTCTTTCGGTACTGGTTTGCTTGGGATCAATAAAAAAAAAAATTCTTGAAACGGTATTCGCCACAAGAAGTCCTGTTTTCAGTCGCGTTCCTCAGAAACTTCGTTCGGAGACTGACGAGGAGTTTCCGGTTTGTTTAACTTGCCTCAGAGTACTGACTCAATAAAGAGTCATCTCTGCTTAATCCATTCGTCAAAAGAGAGTTTCACAGAAGGAGAGCTTATCTTTGCAAGGGCTGGCCTGTTCGATGTAGAAGACTCAGTTATGGCAAAATGTGGGTCTGCGCAAAGCATAGGCACACTTATGGGAAGTTCTGGCGCCAAAGTTCAGCGTGCCAGTATCCGACACACCCTGGTAGCGATTCCAAATGGGTAAAGAGCCGGTATTCTGTCAATTTGCAAATGTCAAAGGCCATTTCTAAGATGTATGGCGTTCTATAGAGGTTTAGACAATACTGCAGCTGAGGGAGCGGATGGTTTCAAAGATTTTTCTCCAAATTATAGACGAATTGGAAAGCGTGGGAGCAGAAAAGGACTAGGGTAAAGTTGGGAAGAGGCTTTAGGAGAGCAAGTTGTATTTGAAGACTACATACCGTAATCGCTACGAAGAGGAAGATAGAAAATGTACCGATCACTCTAGGGTCTTTGCACTTAGTCATGCTGTTGACACTGACGTTCAGAAAGTATGCAGTCACAGTCACAACGTGAGGTGTGAGGATTGTGAGAAGCTGAAGAGTATTTTTGAAGGAGAAAAAGGCGCTATTTCTGAGTACACAATGCAGTTGGGTAGGTTTCAGAGAGAGGCGAGGAACACAGTAATGGATGAGATAGGATTGAAACATCCAATCATGTTTGATATCTATGACGTGTGCTCGTGGCAAGAGAAGCAAGGTTGCCTAGCCTCAAAGTCAAGATGCTAAGAGACATGTGCAAACATTTTGAGCTCGCATTCAAAATGCAAGATACAAATGCAGCACCTCTTGCAAAAATGGAGGAAATGATTTCGGAGTGCAGATGATATGCAATCTAGTTATGACGTCCACCGTTAATTATGCAAATGCGATATCCTTTTTCACAGGAACTCTTCAAACTTATGAGAAGGGACTGTTATGCAGACAGGCGTGACGACCAAATATCACTTTTTTCCCTTTCAGCTAGAAATCCGAGCAATCGCTGCTTTATTTAGACATGAGAAGTATTCAGGACAATTACACAATTTGTCCGTTTACGAGACAGAGTCAATGGTCACGGTGTATTTCTGTGTGTGCTGTTATCGCCGGTTACACTAAATAGAATCCTGTAGTTTGGTTTTGAAATATTCATACAGGTTTGAATAGCGTAAGCCATCAGAACTCAAATGTGAAATAACAGAAGCCAAATTTTTAAATAAGTTCGCGAGCGCTAATCAAATTATGATATTCGATACATTGTTGTTGACGTCTTTCGTCACGAGATATTAAAAATTGTCAAATTTTGGCCTTTTGAAAAGCTTAAAGTATTAATCAGTGTGGTCTTAAAGCTCTGTCCTACTGTATTTTCTTCTTAAAATGGTTAAAATCTAAGATTTATTGAGCTACTCATATAAAACGGTCAGAGTTTGCTCAATGAACTAATTTGCATAATCGGCTGTCACGCTAGCAATATCGCTAAAAGTTTGAAGTCACCTCGGCGAAGAAAATCAATAAGTGCAAGATGTTTTTATATTTTTCTGCAGCCAAACATCTTATTAGCAGAAATCAAGTGAAGTTTTTAATGGTCTGGTCTGGACTTGAGCAATATCAACCAAGAAAGAAAGAGTACTTTTAACCAATTTCAGAAAGCTTTCCAACGAGTGTTTTTAAATAAATTTTGACAAGCCTCTGAATAAACGAATATCAAAATTGAAATGCATTTTATACACCTTATATATCACACACTTTAAGAATAAAAAATATTTTTTGCTGCATGCAGTGTGATACGAGGACCGAGCTATTCAACTTTTGAAATTTTCGATGTCGCAAGATGTCAAAAAAGAGCCTTTTGCAGCTTTGACTTATGAGAGCTCTAAGAATTTTATGTTAACGTATTTCCAGAAACTAATGTGGTTTTATTTACTTGTAACCAAAGATAGTTTATTGGGAAAAGTTTGAGGGGAAACTTTTTTCCGATGCGAAATGCCCTGGACCGCTCTTACAGAGATCGCCTCTTAAATGCAGAAAGAAAACACCTTCAGATAGCGAATTAATTAGTACTATTATAGGCTGACTGTGTTTCAAATACTGTTTTGCTATAATTCATTTGTTCATATGTTTATTTTGAAATCTACAGCTACTCTAACTTTACTGATACAATTGCAAGGAACAGGTGAGAAAGTGTAGTTCCATTTCGAACTTACGTATCTGAAAGGGAACCTAAAAAAATTATGAGTGATGTTTAAGTATAATCAGTCAATTATTGCCTATTGGAAGTGCATTAATTTGTTTGCAATTTCTGTATAAAAACAAAGCAACAAAGTCAATGGCTAGCGAAGCCTATCCTAAAAACAAAATTAACGCTTATAAAACTTTAACCTAATTCTAAGCTTTCCTTGTCACAATCATCGTCATAGTTACAAGTGTCAGGTAATAAGTATTATCTATGTATCTATATATTTTTATCTATCAATATATATTGTTCACTTTAGAGTGCCAAAATACCTGTTTCCAAAATTCCCGGTACACATTTTCGAGATGGGGAAGAACTTGGTCTGAGAACAGTGATGTCTGCAAAAGTCAAGGTGG